CTCAGTTGGTTGAGCATCCAACTCTTAATTTGGCTCAGGTCATGATCCCAGCATTCTGGGATCAAGCCCCACATGGGGCTCCATGCTGAGCATAGAGATTCTTTCGCTCTTTCTGCCCCTCTCCCCCACTCATGTGCTCTGTTTCTTAAACATAAAGAAATTGAAAAAGATTTTTTTTAACTCCTATGACCAAAGTGTCAAGAAATATAGGTATAGGTTTTATTTCCTCCCACCTTAAAAGTACCCACTAAGCCCTGTAAGAAAAGGGGAAAGGCAGAGGCCTCAGGAGCTGTCCCAGTGAAGCCCAGTACCACCTGCACCCGTAGCAGGACACAGGTCAGAGATGAAGGCAGGTGGCGCAGAAGGTTGGTTGGTGGCGCTTGATGAGCTGTTTGAATCCTGCCGGCCACTCTCCTCCACGAATGGGCAGGATTGGGCCTCAGGGCCTTATTTCACAGAGTTCAATCTCCTGGCACCAGTCAAGTTGCCTTAACTCACCCTGAAGTGAGAACAAGTTCACGGACATGACAGTCCCTCTGACAACTTAGGATAACACAGAAAACTTGCCTAGAGCCCTACAGTGAGTGGTGTGATGGGGACAGATGGACAGGAGCACAGCAGGTGCAGAGGCAGCCTCACCTTGCTGTAAGGTGAAGAGAGAGAGAACTTTGATTTTATTTCTGAGGAACTACATCCACTGGAAGGAAGGGATATAAATGGCTGTATGATGTCTGGTCAGGGAAGCTGAGGCCCCCATGGCCCCTGGGTGAGGGTTACAGCCGTGCCATCATCTCTCCTTGTCCTCCGTGGATCCAGGCAGTATGTGAGGAGGAGGGTTTGGGGCAGAGTGAAGGTGGGTCCCCAGAGCCAGCACTGGGTGTGTGGATGCCAGGGGGTGTGAACAGGTGTGAACCAGGTGGTTCTCCTTGGCTTCCTAGCTCTATGAAGATGCAGGTGGTGTCCTGTAAAAGCACATTTCTGTCCCTTCCTGTGAGACATCAAGACACTCTTCCTCTCACCCTTCCTCCCCACACTCACCTCCCCACTATTACCCAGAATCCCTTGTCCACTTCCAGTGGCAAGGGAGCTAGCAGTTTCTGGGTGAGGCCCAGCAGGGCCAGGGATGAGCAAGTCAGGGAGTCCAGGCTTAAGAGGAGGGGCTGGGGTTCCTCTGAATCCCTTCTGACCTTTCAGACGTTGAACTTGGGGAAGCCAGTGACGTAAGAAGCACAGAGGCAAGCCAAGAGCTGTGTCTTAAGTTGGAATATGATTACCCTCCTTCATGTGTCCAGGTCATTAGAGCAAATGTGACCAAAAAAAAATGCAGCTCTGGGTTGACGAGAGCTTTGGTCTCTCAAAGAGTCATAGGTAGTTATTGGGGAGGAGGTTCCAAATGAAGAGAGAGGCTGTAGTGAGCAGAGAGGCGGTCCTGACAATGCCTGGAACAGGCAGAGAGGTGGTGAGGGAGGAGGGGAAAGGCTCAGGGGAGGGTAGAGATAAGGAGATGAAATGCAGCCCAGAGCAGCCCTCCACCCTGGGGCCTGGCCAATCTCAACTTGGCCTCCAGAACTCAGGTTTGGGTGCACCTACAAATCCTGCTAATGACAATGGTGGCCATGTGTGCCAGGCCCACTCAGTCCCCACAGCAATAGAATAAGGTAGGTGTTCTGATTTCAGTTCTATACGGGAGGAAACAGAATCGGAGAGATGCAAAAAGCGGCCTGAAAAGTCACACAGCCAGTGGGAAAGCCAGGGTTCAAAGCAAAGTCTGATACAAAACTCCACCCTCGGACCACCATTACTCCGTTGCCGCACCTGCTGGGTGTTAGGTCGAAGGGAGGAAGGAGCCCTTCCTTCCCGATAGCTGCTTGCAGCTGTGGCCGGGGGATGGTCCGGAGGGTGCTGTGTGCCGGGCACCCTGAGACACGCTGTGAGGATGCCCAAAATCCTGAGGTGCAGGGGCCCTTTTTAAGAGCTTGTGTGCTAGTGGGCTCTCCACAGGAGACACTGGGCAGTGGAAGGAGGGGCTGGGGGTCTCGGGCAGAGAAGGTGGCCAAACAGGGAGGAGAGAGGAGCAGCCTGGACCAGGCTGGGGAGGGAAGAAGGGGTGCTGGCTGTCTTTGTCACGGTTGTCTGAGACATGCCTAGGTCAGTGCCTGAGGCTCAAGGACTGTGGTCCATTTCCATTCTGAACAAATAGGGCTGGGGGTAGGCTCCTGGTTATGCTTTTTCTTGCTGCTGAGCCGTCAGGAGCTCCCGGCCTTAGATATGGTTTGGTCCTATTTTCCCAGAAATGATCAGTGACCTCTGAGCAGTACTTGTAAACAAGTATAGAAAATGGGATGAGAAGCTTTGACAGTGGAAGAAATTTCTCTCTGAAGAAACCTCAGGGATCCGGACCAGCGTGATGCAGCTTAGGGGGCTGACAGTGTCTAGGGGGCCAAGGGCTGTGTTGGTCACAGAAGCCCCTGGCTACTGAGTCCATGGACCTGTGATCTTGACCACTGCTCCTGTCCTCTGCCCCCCCTTCCCATTTTGACATACAAAGTATAGTAAGACCCAAGGCCTGGGGCTGAGGCTGATGGCACTCAGGTGCCACCAGAGAGAAGAACAGAGCCAGGGCTGTGACCCCCACATCGCCTGGGGCTGCACAAAGATGTGGGTCATCCAACCTCACAGAGGAGCCATCTGAGAGGCAGGGATGGAGTGGGCCTGAGTGCTTTGCAGGGGAGGGGATGGTTTGAGGTTGGGGTGGGTGTGGTGGCGAGACAGATGAGCCTCAGGGATTCTATTCCCAGAGGACAACTGGTGGCAGAGCTGTGGCCAATGGCCACGAGGGCTGAGGTTCAAGCTGTGCCCCACAGCAGTACCAGAGGCCTGCAGAAGCAGGGCGCCCGAGCTCTGCAGGCCAGGCTGTGCACTGCTCCCCAGCTGTAGTCACACTGGCCCCGAGCGGCGGGGGGGTGTCTCCCGGTCTCTCTTAGATACACACACACAGTCCCACACACAGATCCGTCCTCATCCTCACCCTCTCTGTACGCTCCCTGTCACGCACAAAACTATTTCCACTCTGGTCCACACTCCGTTCCTCTCTTGGCTTTGCAGCCTCTGCCAGGGTCTGATCCCCAAACTCCCTTCTCTTCTGTCTCCTCCCAACATGCAAGGGCTGGCGGTGTGACAGACACTCTGGTCAGGTCTCCTCAGCCTTCAGACGGTTGGTGATTTCACCCATAACTACAGGTGGGGACACCACGGGCCTGGACAGTGAGGGGGTGGGGGGCTGGGAGAAGGGCAGAAGCCTGGGTTGCTCTCTGGGAGGCTCCCTGTAAGCAGGCTGGGCCACTTCCACCTCAGGGCCAGCAGCAACTGTCTTCACATCCCCTCTCCCAACAAACAACACATCCTCCCTGGGTGCGAGCCCTGACTCAGGCAGCAGGGCAGGCGGGGGGACGGCGGGCAGCATGAAGGACCTGTTAGTGCAGAAGCAGGAGGGCAGAAGCAGCTGGTAGATCTCGGTGTTGAAAATGGACATTCTGGGAAATAAAAAGGAGCGTTCACTCTTAAATCCGTGCCCAGCTGCCCCCTCCTCAGGTGAATACAGGTGAATAACAGAGCATTCTGTGGGATTTCTATTTCAAATTCCTCATTTATTTTGACATTCACTTGGTTGTGACTCCAAGTTATCAAAGATGCAGGACAGGAAATGTGCAGCAGGAGCAGTGAAATGGCGGTGGAGACAAGATGGCCGAGAGGAAAGGGTGTTCCAGCCTCTCCTTTTCTTCCTGTTGGGAACGACTTGAAAGGTGTCCAAATAGCGTCCCATAGCACAGACTCCATAGCTAAGAAGTGCAGCACGATTGAATGGGTGGGCTTCCTCTTCCATAGGTTAGACCCTCACACTACAGGGGATGGACAGCTCCTGGAGACTGGGCCCTGAGCACTGAGGGGGGGAGGGGAACCGGGGCGCATCATCCCTCCAGTGCCCAAACCCAGATTTTGGTGTGTAGATTGACAAGATTTAGGCCAAGAAAGCTCTAGGAGGAGAGGGGACGGTCCAAGATGCTTTTCACTGAGGGACCCCAATAGATCAATGCAAGAAGCAGGTGATAGTTGACTGGGCTGTCTTGATTTCTCCAAAGGCAGGGGGTACAAAGGAGGGCCAGCCTTTGCTGTGGTTGATTGGCTGTGAAATTCCCACGCGGGGAGGCACTGGGGCTGGTGGTCAGGAAGCCACAACGCCTGCCACCCCCAGAAGCTCATGTCAAGGGGGTGCACTTGGGCCCAATGAGGACTGCTGAAGGGATGAAGTTCCTGTCCTAGTCTGGTCCCTCTGGTCTGGGAGACAGAGCTTGTCACCCCACCCGGAGCTGCCTCCCAGTATCAGGAAATGCTGCTATTTGAGATCACTCAGTAGGGCCAGACATGTGTGCTTTTCCCTGACCGTTAAAATCGTTTTGCCTGCTACACCCGTGTTTCACCGTGGTCCTTCAGTCCTCGACACACACATCCTTGCACACTGGATCAGGCAGTCGACAAGTGCGTCCAGCCCCCGCCAGGATGAGGGCGAGAAAAGCAGCATGGCGGGCAGGTCTTTTCAGGAAGTCCTGGCTGTCTGGAGTACTAGCGGGCTCTTAGGTCTATCTGGGCAGCCCTCATTTTCCTGGAGAAAATGGCGACTCTGCGAAGAAAAATGACTGGCCCTAGAGCTAATGAGTGACCAGAGTGTGTGTGACAGACCCCAGGTCCTCTGATTCGTACATAAGCCAGTGTGCGCTAACTACAGAGGAGATGCGAGGTGACAAGTGTGTCCGGGCAGAGTGAAGTGACAGGTGTGGGGAAGTCTCTCCCTGCGCCAGCTCTCTCCCAGCTGCACATGGCTCCCGCTCAAATGCAAAATCCGGATTCCAGCAAAGCGGCTAGCTCCTCCCCTGCCCCAGCCCCGTGCAGCAGTCTGTGACTCCGAAGGTGGGGGGGAGGGGGCGGTAGGTATGCCTTTAGAAGGGGGTGCAGCCACCCCTCACTGTAGAGGAAACCAGGAAAACCCATCAGGTACTTTCCCTCAAATGGCATAAGGCCACAGCAGAGTTCTAAGTGGGGAGTGGGGCAGCACCCCCCCTAGCCAGGGGTGAGGGTGGGGGATCAGCAGTGGGAGGGAAGCCAGCACAGAATCGAGGGAAGCCAGCAACCAGGGAACCGTCCCCGGGAGGCTCTGCAGGCTCTGCCCACACCCGCCAGCTGTGCCCTGGGGACTGGCCACCTTAATCACCTTGCACTCCTGTGTGCAGGCCAGTGCTTCCGTTCCAGCCGGAACATCAGACACCTTTCCGCTCTGCAGCTCCCAAAGGTGGCAAAGCCCCTGGTGTGTGATGTGTGCTGGCGGAGGACACGGACACACACACACACACACACACACAAACACACACACACCCTTGCAGCACTGTTCCCACACGCCCTGCTCAGTGGTGGGCTGGGACCCCAGAGACTATCATCAAGAAGGTCTCATTTGCTAAGCTGCTCAAACTCAGTAGCAAAACTTTGAACCGGGTTCTCCAGCAGGGGCAGCTGGTCCCCGAGGCCGAGAACGAGGATCTGCAGGGAGACAAGGCTAGACATCACCTTTTCGGTGCACCCCCCGCAAATAACCTTATGCCGTGACCTTTAAAGTCAACTCAAGGTGTTCCAGGAGGCAGGGCGTGGGTACAGATGTAGCGAGTTCCGGAATCTATACCCATTATTGGAGCGGATGCACAGACTGCGGCCCCCGTGATGACCAAACACAAAACGCGGCTCTGAACTGGTTCTTGGATTCCTCATAGTGCACGGGCCTGCGGAGGGCCCCGGAACACCTCCCTCTCCCTCCTCGGGCTCTGCAGGGCCTGCCTGCTCACCTCTCCCCGGGCCCTGGGCCCCCTTCGTCCATCCCCCCAAGGAGCCCGGAGGCCTCCGGGGTCTTTGCTCAGCTTTCGTGGTGCTCCTCCTCCCGCAGTGCGGCCAAGCTGGGGGAGCGAGGGGAGCACGAGCGGTTACGAGCCCGCAAAGACCGTCTCAGCCCAGAAGCGCGCAAAGCCAGGGCTCCACCCTCCAGCCCCCACCTCTGCGCCCCGAGGGCGGGCCCTGCCCTCGTTCTCCCTGCACTCAATAGCTTGAATTCCACTGTGGGGCAAGAAAAGCCAAAAACAAAACGAACAAACAAAAAACGGAGACAGTCCTCGTGGGCTGTGGAAGGGACCATCTGCCGCCCCCATGGTTCCGCTGGGGCGGCAGCATCGGTACGCGGAGGGGTCAGGGGGGATCGGGGTTACACGTCTGTACTAATAGCCCTTGGGTTGGTGAAGGCCTCACGCCCCGAGCCCGGCCACGTCACCGGGTAACTCTGGGGCACTGCCAGCTTGAGGGGCGGGGGTCCCCCTTCCTTGTAGTACGTAGGAGCGAAGGAGAGCCGCTCGCCTCCGCCCCCGTTGGGCACCATGTCAGCCGTCCGTATGTAGAAGGGGGAGCCGTACGGGGAGCAGGTGGTGCAGTGGCCGCAGGGCTCGCTGGTGAGAGGCGCCAGGCCGCCTCGGCCGTCCAGGGCTTGGGAGCTGCAGGCATTGCAGGCGGGGCCTCTGGGGTGTGTGGGCAGGTCGTGCTCTTCCTCCTCCTCGTCTGCATCCTCGGCTCTGCTCTTCTTGCAGCAGTAATACTGAGGGGAGAGAGGGGAGGGCTGCCTGAGGGCCGGGGCCCCCCTCCCAGCGCTCAACGGCGCCTGTGCCCCGGTCCGCGGAGGACCCTGTGCAGAGAGCCTCTTGGTGTGGGGGCCAAACGGCCACACCAGACGCCCACGTTCCACCAATACGTGTTCCCAGCTTTGCAGACCCCCACCTTCCCTCTTCCTTCCCCCCTGCTTCCCAGCACATTAGCTCCGGGCTGTGGTTGAGACAGGCAGGCGGCAGAGCTGAGGGGCATGGCGTCATACTGAGGACAGGACTGGGGCTGCTGGGAGCAGCTTTCTGTCTCCCCAGAAGGATGCCCTTCCCCCCACTCCTGAAAGCCCAGGCATGCAGGAGACACGGCACAGTGACCCAGGATCTCCCCAGCACCCTGCTTTGGGGTACCCCAAAGTGTACAGTGTGGGGGCTGCGTGGCTCCCTCTGGCCACCCCCAACTCCCAGCCCCCCTAGCCTATGCCTCCCACATTCCATGGCTCTGAGCTTTTCACCCTCCAGGTGGGCCCCCGGTTTGTGCCCCCCGCACGGGAAGTGGTTGGCTGGCCCCTCTGGGGACTGACCTGGAGTCTACAGTAGCACAGGACGGCGATGATGCAGAGGAGAATGACCGTAGCTAGGATTCCGCCAGTGATCACAACTGTTCCCGCTGTCATCCGCCCGATGCCCCATCAAACTCTGCAATGATGTGTGCGGAGAGGTGAGGGGCGGCCATATTGGCCATGGGGCCTCCTGGAACTTTCTACACAGCCGGAGGCTGGGAGGACCTGCGGGTAGCTGGGAAAGGAGGGCCCCGGGCTCTGGGGACACCAGGGGCTTCCTGAAGGCAGAGGGTGGCTGTGCCTGGGCCAGCGGGGGACCCGGGGGCCTACAGCTGCGGGAGGGGAGAGAGGAAGCAGAGTGCTGACTGAGGACATAATTCTGCTCTCTGCTTCTGTTCAGTTTCAAAGGTTCTTGCTGTCTTTCTCTATCTCTCTTCTCCTCACACTCAGCTCATGGCTTGAAGACACAAAGACAAAAAAAGCTCCCTTTCCTGAGGGCTTGGTCTGTGGCACTGCCCTAAATTTTCCCTGGTTGTCTCAGTTCATCCTCAGAATACCTTCTGGGGTAGTTATTAAGCATCCCTGTTTCACACACGATGAACCGAAGCTTCGACTGGTGTGGCTGAGCTCCTGTCCAGCCTGGTCCACCCCAAGCGCCATGCTCTTAGTCCCTGCCCTCCAGGACACAAACAGAAATGACACCAGAGCCTTTGACCCAGGTGGAGGGGACAGGGTCTGAATCTCAAAAGTTCTAGCTGGTTCTGCCCTGGCTAAACCCACACTCTTTTTGGGGGTATCTCACCTCTCTTTCCAACTCGTATGGAAAACAAGGGCAAGGTAAGCCCAGGGGGGTGGGCAACAGGCAGTAAGTATTCTGGCTCCTGGAAGGTGGTGGCGGGGCTGGAGGTCAGGCCCTGCTAAGGCGGTAACGGGCCCGGGGGGAGCTCTAGACAGGAGGAGAGACTTCCCAGCCTCTCGGGCACATGGGGACCAAGGCTGGCCGTGCTCCTGGAGCAGGAAGGAGGGAGGAGACTTGGCATCTTGAGGAAGGAAGGGTGACCATGAACACTTACGTTCAGTAAAGGGAACAGTGTGACCTGCAAGACAATAAAAGAGACAGAGATGTAGGAAGAAGAGCGTTACCCCTGAAAAGACGCCAAGGGTTAGAATGGTCCCCAAGGCCCACCTCACCTGGCTTTCCTCCCTGTGTGCCCCACCACCCATAAACCCACATGTCCCGAGCCCCGTCTCCAGCTGTGCCTCCCGCTACTGATAGACAGATGTTTCACTCGCGTGTCCCTCTGGCACCTCACACTCAACTGTGACAGCCTGAGTCATCACCCTCTTTCCAAACGGGCTTTCCCACCTCCCACTTCTCTGTGAGTCCTTCTACCAGAGCCGCTGCGTAGGGGTCTGGCAAGTTGCTGTCACTCAAAGGGCACATGGGGCCGGAACGCAAGCTGCAGCCCACTGAGGAAGGGGTGCACCCTGCGGTGCTCACCTGGCGGAAGGAGCACCTGCTTCTTCAAGCAAGTCCCACCTGCCCCTCACCATGGTGCACCCTCGCATGCTCCGCCCCGCTCCACTTCCATGCATGCTCACCACCAATTTATCTCCCCCACCCCACACTGCCCACTACCCCCCTACATGAATCCTCTGTCCACCAGGGAGGTGCAGTTCTTAAGAAGCTTAGAGCCTCGTGATGAAAAGACATTTAACATACCATATGATATGGCATAAGACACACAGACCAGGGGCTGTGAGGACCCAGAGGAGGAGCGGCTAACTGCTTGGGGAAGGCTCCTTGGAAGGTGTTACGCTTGGGCTGAGTCATAGAAGGTGAGAGGGAGCTTGTCTGGTAGACATGTGCAGAGGGCTGGATGAACGGCCCAGGCATGTGAGCAACCACAGGGGCTTCCAGAACCTGGAAGGAACCTGCATGGGCCAGGGCAGGGTGGGCAGGAAGTGGGAGAGGCGGTAAGGCAGGCAAGGGACTGGCATTTAACTCCCTTGGAGGCAAGGGGGCTTCCTGAAGAGCTTTCGGTAGGGGAGTGCATGAGCCTGCTTTCTCTACCTGTTCAGATCCTGACCACCGTCCAGGGCTCTGAGAGACCTCCCTGACCCTCTCATAGTGGTGCTCTCTCTCTCTCTCTGGACTCCTACAACCTTTCCATGTTTTTAAGTCTATTTATTTTCAGAGAGAGAGAGCAAGCAGGGCGGGGGGGGGGGGGCAGTGGCAGAGAAAGAGGGAGAGAATCTCAAGTAGGCTCCACACCAGCACAAAGCCCAATGATGGGCTCCAACCACCCACGACATCATGACCTGAGCCAGAATCAAGAAGAGTCAGATGGTTAAGCGACTGAGCCACCCAGGCTCCCCACCCATCAGCCACTTTCCAAATCTTGTCTTGGTAAAACGCTTGTCAAGTTTCACATGGGAACATCTTAATTCCTCTAGTACTTTTGAAGTCCTTTGGGGTCAGGAGTTGTGTCTTATACTGCTTCATACCCCTGCAGCATTGTACACAGCGCTCCGTACAAGTGGGTACTTATAATCATCTTCTGATACAGCGTTTCTTTCATAGGCCTGGCAGTTATGACTCTGACCCACCCCTAGGGGGCAGCAAGTTGCATCTCTCAGCTCCCATCCCATCGTTCAGACCTGAGCTTCCCTGTTCAAGACCAATTTGACTTTGCCCAGATGCATCGTGGGCCATGCTTCAGGGCATCACTGGGCATTTGCGGGGGGCAGGGGGGCACAGATAGGGAGATGAACCCCAGCTTTGGGAGAATTTATGTGCCCTCATTACAACATCAGTCCACTCTCCCCTGCTTTCCCTGCTTGCTCACCAGGGAGGGCTGTTGAAGAGACAGAGGCCTGTGGAGCGCCCTCAAGTTGGAGGCAGCAGTGACCCACTCTACCTGGAAGTCTCGGCCTTGTCCCCTGGGACGAGCCGAGCCTGTTTTAGGATACAGCGAGCTATGAAGCTATATAAGAACAGTGCCCTCCCCTCCTTCTGACCTCCACGCCTGGCCTCTCCCTTTTCGGGGCCCTGATGCTGTACAGCACAAGGGACCTAGAATGGGGAGCAGGGCAGTGCAGGCAGTGGCGCACATCTGAAGACCCGTCTGAGGTCCAACTGCGCCATTTAGCAGCTGTCCCCATCTTGGAAACTGACCTCCTTTCTCACTTGTAAGAGAAAGATTAAAAAAAAAAAAAAAAACTCAGCTTACAAGCATGATTTTGAGGCAGAAGTGAGATTCATGTATGCAACAGTCCCTTGGAAACTCCAGAAGATTCTGCAAACACAGCTATTTGTGGGGAAAAGGAAGGCGTAGACATTGTCTGTGTCTGCTTAAATCTGGCCTTAAAATCAGAAGCCAAGAAGGCATAGGTAACGGGCATGCAGGGAACTAGCCAGCTGCCAGCCACTCCCCGTGATGGCCCCATACTAATGGTACAATTTAGCACTGACATTCCCATATCCAGTAGCTCCTATTATTTCAGGTGGGTTCATGTTCACTCTGCAATTACATGCAAAGGACAACACTCTACAGTCTACAGTGTCCTTCCACTTACAGCCCTTCCCAGGACAGGCAGGCTCCAAGATGGCCACTTGGCAGCCATGCCTCATGTACTTGCCTTCCCTCGAGGGAGGGAGCCTTCTGTGACTGAGTTCTAGCCAACAGGACATAGCAAAGATGATGGGATGTCGCTTCTGTGAATAGTTTACGTAGCATTCTGACTACCTTCTTGCTAGCCAGCTCCTTCCCTTGCCGGTTTGGATACAGCATGTTGCCATGTTGAGAGGCCCATATGGCAAGGAACAGGGGGTGGCCTCTGGCTCTCAGCCCAATGACCTAAGTGGAACTGGACAATCACATAAGTGAGAGTGGAAGTGGGTCCTTCCCCAGTTGAGCTTTGAGATGAAACTGCAGCCCCAAGACACCTTGAATGCAGCCTTATGACAGTCCCTGGAACAGTGGGTCCCGCTAGCCACGCCTGGACTCCTGACCCATAGAGACTGCAAGGTCATCGGCATGTGTTGTTTCACTGCTAAGTTTGTAGCAGTCCCATTATGCAGCAAAAGATAACACATCTCAGCACCACACAAAATCCCTACACGCAGGAGAGAAAGTCAGACCATTAAATGATTTGCCTAAAGTCCAGTGTCTGAGTCAGGACTCAGGGGCCAGTGCCATCAAGTTTCCAGAATGCCCAGCTGCCTTCTGATGAGCTTCCTAAGGATGAGAAAGAGATTCCCTCCCAGAGCCTAGTGGATCAGGACAGATGGGTGCAGTGATGACCCAGTCAGGGACCAAGGGCGGCCGAAGAGGACAAACCTATTGTCCACTCCCAGGCCTGCCCTCTGTGACCAGGACTTTCTGGACCTCATCCCCGCCAACACCCATCCCCACCCAAGGCCCAGACATCTTCTGGCGGGAAGAGAGGGCTGGCCTGAGCCTCATACTTACGTGAAACAGCTGGGGCAGCAAAGGCTCAGTCAAACAGGCTGTGCCTGAGCAGACAGTGGTTGGGGGTGCATCATGGCCAAGGGCATCAGTTCCTGCCAGAGAAGAGAGGGGAAGATCAGTGAGAGCTGGAGAGGGAGGCCAAGATGAAGAGAGCCCAGACTCGGAACAGACATCCCCCAGAGGGCCTTGGCTCTTGACCTCCATGCTGCCTAGGAACCTGAGGACGGACCTGTGAGGACCTATCCCGTCTTCGTTTACTGCCCTCAGTGCCGCTGTCCGGAACCCACGGGCCAACACAGTAGCAGGGCACTGGGCAAGAGCTTCTGCCTGTTCTGGGAAGTGAGGCTCAACGTGGGGGGTGGGGGGTGGGGGGGTAGGATAGGGAGCCTCTCACGCTCCTGGAGAATTCTGGTCAGTGCCCTGGCCGACAGTGTCCTTGTTGCCTGCATGCTGGTCCTTTTCTCTGTGGCCCCACACACCTCTTCCCCATTCTTCCCCAGTGCCCACAGTTACACACTCCCTTCTCTTACGCCAGTATCCCGACCCCCACCCCTTCCACCACCAGCTGGACGGTCGGATGAGCAAGTTCACACTGGGTGCTGATGGGGGAGGGGAGGCAGGGTCCTATCAGGACATGTAGCAATCCGGTCTAGGCTAACTAGTGGGGCTCCCTTCAAATGAAAATTCTCCAAATATCCACAGCACGTTCTTAACAGGAGAGTCTGGGCCTGACACTGAGAGTATGGGAGTGGGGGAGAGAAGGAAGCCCGCTGGGGAGGCCCAGCCCTGCTCATTGTCCTGAGCAGGGAAGGCCCCACCGGGTGTGTTTGTATTGGGAGGGAACCCAACTGTTAACTGGACCCACAGCGTCACCTTCCATAGGGATGGGCTGACCTCCTCCGGGTTCTCTGCCTCAGCCAGAAGCTGAGGGTCAAAGGGCAGCATGAGCATGCCTCAAGGCCCTGTGCTCATCTGAGTTCAGTTGTTCTCAGGAGCAGAACTCTGGGAGAAGTTGAGAAGGCAGATGTTGACCTACAGAGTCAGCCCATCCACGCCTTCACCCCCCTTCTAGAACTAGGCCTTGCTGCCTGGAATCTGCCTGGGATGTTCCAGGCACCCAGGCTTTCTTTTCTCAAAGATGCTCTCACTCTCGCTAATATGGAAATCACAGGTAGCTGGATGTCAGAGGGGGACTCTTAAGGTTTTTTTTAATGTTTATTTAGTTTTGAGAGAGCACAGTGGGCGGGGGGGGCAGACAGAGGATTCAAAGGGGGCTCTGCATGGACAGCAGCAAGCCCGATGTGGGGCTTGAACTCAGGAACCATGAGATCATAACCTAAGCTGAAGTCGGACGCTCAACCGACTGAGCCACCCAGGTGCCCCCTTATCTAAGTTTGACTGGGATGCCAATTGATAGAAACCAGAAGACTAAAGTAAGTTTGGGTCCCTCCTCCCTGGCCAAGAGCAGGGAAGTGTACATGGGAACGTCAAAACATCTGACGTTTCGGAATCCAGGAGACTTTCTCCCACTTTGTAAAATACAGATGGGTCAAAAATTTCGAGAAGACTTGGTGCAGAAGATTTCCTTGACAAGAGCTGTTGCTGAGCCAGGAAACCTCACTCTAACCCCCAAGGGCCGGGGACCAGCAGAGGCTGGCTGTCCCACGTCCTGTCCACTAGTGCCACCCGGAGGCACGAGAGAAGCCCAGTCCACCAGGCTGGAGATGGACATCCTGACGCCCAGGGGCTGAGCAAGGAGTTGCAAGGGCCTCTTGGGACCGAGAGAAGTGCCTGCCTGGGGTAAAGGAGCAGCCGGAGACAGGGGCCCTGCTGGGACCCTCAAACGTGCCCACAAAAACACCCACAAACGCAAGAGCCCGGGTGAGGCTTCCCCTGACCTCCAACCAGTCAGAACTCCCCATTTCGATCCGGCAGCTAGGGAAACAACAGCTCCTGGGAGTAGCGGGAAGAGGGTAAGGGTTGGAGCAGTAGACAACAGAGGGCACGGCCCACCGCCCCAGCTGCCTCCAGCCCGAGGCAGATCCAAACTGGCAGAAAGGAGAAGCACAGTACTGTCGAGTTATTCAAGGATTCCAGGTCCTAAGTTGAGGCTGTCGCTACAGCTGAGAGGTACCACACACACTATCACCTAGGAGTGGGTGACCAGCAACGGCACTGGCCCAAGTTTTTATCTAGGGGCAGGGGGAGATTCCTTCCACTGAATACATTTTAACGTAAAGGGATTGTCCGAGGGAGGGGGAAACATTAAAGTTGTTTGCTGAGCACAAATCATGCAATATGCTTGTTTAACCTATTAGTTACTTACAGAAAAATGCATGGAAATGGAAGGACTCTAAGGGATCTGACCCAGTTATCGATTTTCTAGATGAAGGAACCAAGTTCAGAGAGGACAAGTGACTGGCTCAGCAATGCACAGCAAGATAGAGACAGAACAGGAAGGGCAGTGGGGGTAGAGCCTCCTGGCCCCAGGCCAGGGCCCTGCCGTTAGGCTGCTGTCTCTCCTTCCAGAAGATCTGCACTAACTTCACCACGGGCTAAGGTGTCCCCGGAGGTAGGGTCTCTCAAATGAGCTTGATGATAACAATCACCTGAGTCGGGTGTTAAGAAACAGAGACTCCAGACCTACCGAGGCGGCATCTCCCGACGAGGGGCCCGGGGACCTGCCTCTTTTATAGGTTCGAGTCTCCCATCTGGCCCTTTTAGGAAATGATGTAGGATGAAGGTCTTTGGGAGGATTTCAGGCCGCAGGCAGCCGAGGAGGCAGGTGACTTTGCAGAGTCTGTAGCATCATCTGCTGCCCATAAGACTGGCTCTGGATTCCGTGTCCTCGGGGTGAGTGGGCCAGAAGGCAGGAGGAAGAGGGAGGTGCGGGGGAGAACCAGGGTACACGGCAGCCCTGAGTGGGGTCAGGGTGGGGGATCTTAAAGGCCATTTTAGTAGAGGCTGGTGGCGGGGGAGGGTGACGGCCAACATGACAGGATGTATTGGGGAGCGAGTGCCCCCCTCCTCACAAGGCGAAGCATCTGTGCTGTGTCTGAAGGGCCCCTGCCCTCAGTGACTTCAGCTCACTGAGGCGGGGTCACCCCCTCGCTGCCTGAGTGACGCTGGCGGGAGACGCAGCCACAGCAGGGAGCGGTACATGTAATTAACGACCGGCTGCCCCTGCTCCCTGCTCAGCCCCCTCGGGGGCACGAGTTAATTGAGTGGGGCCTGAACACCACTGATCTCAATTTCTTCTGAGGCAATTAAGCCTTCCCCAATCATTTATTAACTCATGAAATGGACACAGCAGGTTAGCAGCCCCGGAGAAAACGAACAGCTTTTTTTTTCCTTGTTACCAGACGTCCTAGACTGCAATCCTCACGCGAGGTTGGCAGAGGGGATCGGAGGAAGAGGTTCCTTTTACTTTGGCTGTGCTTGTGGCCATTGCCACGCACATGTCCCCCAGGAGGAGGGTGTGAAGAATGGTGGCCAGGTGGGGTCCTCAGTGCCCAATACACAGGTAAGGACAGCAGCAAAGAGGTGTGTGCTGTTTGCAAAGAGGTCTCTTTAGATAGAAGGAACTCTTGCAGGGGTGCCTGGGTGGCTCAGTTTGTTAAGCGTCTGACTCTTGATCTGGGCTCAGGTCATGATCTCAGGATTCCTGAGATTCAGCCCTGCATTGGGCTCTATGCTCCCACACAGAGCTTCCCTCTCTCTGTCTCTCCCCTGCTCGCAAGCACATGGGTGTGCATGTGGTCTCTCTATCTAAATAAATAAATTTATTTTTCAAAAAGACCCCTTGCAAATCATCAAGGGGAAAAAGGGAACCTGGATGTAGTAACGGGTAACAGACAGGTGGTTTCAAAAGGAATAACCACAAAGGCTAACGGGAAAGTGAAGAGACGCCCAGACTCACGACCAATCTGACAAAGACAAATTGAAACCACAGTTTCAAACTTCTACTTTACACTGGTAGGACTGGCACAAAATTAGAAAGCTGGATAATGCCGAGGGTCCGAGCAGCTGTAGGCATGCAGGGGCACCGCGGGAGGGGTGTAGCGAGAGCAGCCACTGGCCTGGTGTCACTTCGTCATATTAAGTTCACAGATACCCCATGAGAAGCAATTCCGTGCCGGAGTCTATGTCCCCCAGATTTCTCCCGCCGTCCACAAGGGGATCACGTGTGAAAGGTTCATGGCTATGTTGTCTGTGGTGGCAGGGAATTGATGCCCCAGTGACCCCCCGCCCCCCAGCGATGGGGAGTGGAGAAGTAAAATCAGGAGGGTTAACGCCACTGTGGAAGGCAACAGACCACATGGTCCATAGTAACGACTGTATATCTTAGCACAGCGCTAAGTGAAAAACAAAGAAAAACAAAAACAAAACAAATGGAGCGAGATGTAAAATACTGCCTACATAAATTTAAAATGCAAGCCTGCAGATCAACAATTCACAGTTTCATGAACACACGCCAAAGCAATGGATCGCATTAAATGTGAGAATGGCTGCCCATGGAAGGAGAACAGGACTGGAGGAAGGAAAGAGAAAAGCAAGTAACACAAGAGGGGCCTGGCACAGACCCATGTAATTGATAATGTGCTACAATTGCACGGAGTATAATTAACTTCACTGTCTGTACCTGAGGTCCAACTTGAACAAAGATTAAGAAGGGGGCTTTGACCACCTCCAGGAAGCCTTCCATGATGCACTTAATGTTGCACATTTCTGGTTAGCCTTCCTATTTGTCCTCAGATAACTGTATTTGTTCATACATCCGTGTCCTGGGGGCACTGTGCTACCTTCGTTAGATCACAGACCATTTGCGGGCACAGACTTGGAATCCTGTGTCTTCCTAAAGCTCTACTCCAGGTGCCTGATGTTCTGTCCGTTTCAAACATGGGATGAGCAGCTCTAATGAGGAAGTTGCTCTGTACGCAGAGTGCTAGTCCAACACGCAGCCAGGCCTTCAGGGCTCATCTGCTGCAGACAGTCATGGGAGCACCAGGCTAGGAGTACCAAG